GCACAGCCCTTGTTGTGTCTCCCTAAAACTGCCCCTCAGCAGCTAGCATGGACCTCACTCCTACAACCTCCTCCTCCCAAATTCCCACTTGAGGCTCTTCTCCCCCTGAAGGAAAACCCTGCCTTCACTCAAACTGTATTGCACAAAAGTTGTGGGTTGAAGTAACATGCCTTCTTCCCCCATTCTCAATGGTGTGAAGATGAATTAATGTTTCAATAGCCTGCAAATGATCCAGGAGCAGAAGAACAGATTTGTCTTTCCCTTCTGTGGCTGTAGATGCTGACAGAGATGATGGTAGAATGATGGCCTGAGAAACAGAGCCCTTGTTGAGCCACAGGAGAAACACTAGGGCTTTCCCTCCAGCTGCTTTTATTACAATTCTCCTGGAGGAGATGGGAACCAGGAGAGCTCAGTGAGCTAAAACCCGCCTTCCTCAGTGCCCAGAAGAGAGTTGAAAGCCATCTCTTCCCTATTCCCTCTCCGGAAAACAGGATCATCCACACAAAGAATTTGCTAGAACAGTCCTTGTGCTTCTGGGTCTGACCTGAAACCTGCTGAAGCACAGGCAAGAGCTTGGGGATGGCCTGAGCTCCTGGCTTTGGTGCTTGTTAAGATGCTCCCTGGCAGGCAAATGGAGGGGATGCTGTGGCTAGTGAAGGATGTCTCTGCCCTTTTTGCTTGGCATGATGCTTTCAGAAGACCACTATTGTTAGGAAGAAAGTTTATGCTGGCAGATCTCCCGGTCAACCAGGCAATTTGAAGACCCGACAGCAAAGGTGTCATTTCCTATCCAGCCATTGCTGGCATCTCTCTGCTCTTGGTTCCCACTTCACTGCACTTATCAGGAGTCTCTAAACGACAAAGTCCAGTGTTTGTTAGTGATTTCAGAGAGGTTTATGTCACATGGACCTTCTGTAGACCTCCTGTCCTGGGCAAAACTCCCAATACACTCTGGTCTGTGTTGGTGAAATATTAGATTTATAGGCCAAATAGCCTTGCCAAGAGGTTATGTGCTTCTGTACCCTTTGGCTGCCCTCACTGTGGGGACAACAAAAGGCATCTCTGGAAAAATCTATTGCCCTTTCCCCAGCATGCAGGACCAGGCCATCCTGCTCATTGAGATACACACAGATCCAGAGGAAATGATACAAAATGGGGCTCAGAAAGCCAACAGCAAACACCAGTGAGAAATACCTGTGAATGTCTTGCCACGGAAACAGTGGAAGACTCCTGACATGGAAGGCATGTCCATTTGGTTATTTGTACAGACTCAGGCTGATTCCTTAAAGACGCCTTGAGGAGTCTGGCAGTGACATCCGCCCTGTGTTCCCCTCTTTATCACAGTTTCCCATTATCCTTTTTGCATTCATTCAAATTTATCTCCTCCTTTTTTTTAGATCCTCTCCCTCTTTTGGTCTTTGTAGCAGGGAGGGAGAGCATAATGATGCCCATCTTGCCCCTGCTGCCTCTCAGCATTTAAGATTACTTTATTTTAAAACTAAATTTATGCATACAATCCTAGAGTAAACTTACAAAAGAATACTTAAATTAAGGCCATTAGTGTAAACTGAAAAGTCTGCCTCTTCCCCTTCTAGCAGTTTCCTGTTCTGTCCTCTGCTCTTATGATGCCTCTGTGCATATACTTAATGGTAATTAAGGACAATAAACTTCTAAGAGTAGTGACAGATCTTTTTCTAACTTGATTATGTGATCCATACCAGAAAATTCATTCCATAAATTCAGCTGTGGAGATCAAAACCATGAGTTTTAAGCATCTGCCCAGCTCCATTTGTTGCAGTGAGTGATTTGTTTATATCCTACTTGATCCATTGCTGGAAGCCATTTGTTCCTTGAGCTTTTGTGCAAACTTGAAGTAAGGCTTTGTAGGGTGAGGAAATGCAAAACTTGGGTCATTCCTGAAGAGCCAGTGGGCTGATTAAGCACTGGGGAGCAAAATATCTGTGGAGCTAGAATGGAGAACCTGACACTGTGGCTTAACTGATGCCTCAGGAGCTAAAAAAAAAAAAAAAAAAAAAAAAAAAAAAGGAGGTTATAAACAGGTGCTGGTAGCAAGCTGTGAGCAAGGTTTGGGTTTTTCAGAAAATACAGGCAATTGCTCACCCTGACTTGCATGCGTGCACACACACATATGGATGTTCCATACTGTGGCAGCTCATTATAGATTCCCACAAGAAAACCATTAGAGAGGAAATTCTTGCTGTTCTAATGTGGTCTCCTTGTTCTTGTAAAAGAAAAGCTGTTGTTTCCATTTTGCACTGGTTTTGTTTTTTGAGGGAGTGGAGAGCATTATAATGAAGTAGTGCTGTGAGTGTATGTGTAATATTTTATCCCTGTGGATACAGTCTTTCACAGTGGGTCCAGCGAAAATGGAGCCCCAAGAAAACGGAGCTTTCCAGATATCTACATCAACCAGCACACCTGCAGAAAAAGTACTGTCAGAGGAATTTTTCTCACATCCCTGCTTTTCGTCATATTCTGTCTCAGCCTGCGGCAGTGTTTGCCTGCCCGTCTGCAGAGGGCGATGCAGCATCAGTTTGACCAGACTTATGGTCCTCTGGTTTTCCCTCATCCCGAAGTTGCCCTTGGTCACCAAGACATTGCAGGGGTTGAGGGCTGAGATGGAGCCACAGCTAGAGGGGAAACTGAGAGGACCAGACCAGAAACACGGGTGTATTTCACAGCACAGTCTCTTCATGCCAGCTGTGCAGCAGCTGATGAAATGGGAGACTGCATTGGATTTCACTTTCCTGTTAAATATTGCTGCACAGGAAGACTTGAATAATTTGCTGAAACATTGAAGGTCACTGTAGGGACAGCTGGTTATTTCATTATTTTGTCCAGGACTCAGAAGTGTGAGTTTAAATCAGCTTTAAAAGGCAAGAATGAAATCTTGGAGCTAAAAGAACCCCAAACACCATACACTCATCTGGTTTTCAGACCTTAGTTTGCATGATACCATTGCTTTTTTGCAGAAAGGAATAGTAGATGTCCTCTGCCAGTAGAGGCATCTCTCTCTAGTCTCCATGAGAATACCCATGAGAATTCATGGGTATTTGTGTAAAAAAAAAAAATCACTTTGTATCCTAGAGTTGCGATGGTCAGAAAAGACCTCAAAATGATCATGTACATCTGTTAACCCAGCATCACTGTGTTCACCACTAAACCATAACCCAGAATTACATCCACATGCCTTTTGAACAATTCCAGGGGTGATGATTCCAATACTTACCTGGGCAGCCTGTTCCAACGCCTGACCATCCTTTCAGAGAATAATTTTTTCCTAATATCCAATCTAAACCTCCCATGACACAACTTGAGGCCATTTCCACTCATGCTGTAACTTGTCACCTGTGAGAAGAGACCCCTTCACCTCACTAAAACTCCTTCCAGGCAGTTGTAGAAGTGATGGGGTCTCCTGAGCTTCCTGTTCTCCAGGCTAAACAGCTCCAGTTCCCTCAGCTGCTTCCCATAAGACTTGTGCCATAAAAAAAAACATTGCATTCTCTCTTTAATCCAGTTCTTCCTTGGATTATTAGAATTAATTTGCTGCAAAGGTTTGGGGGTTGGATATTTTGGAGTTTCCTCAGGTGTAGGCTGGGGCCTGAGAGGAGCTTGAATGTTGAATTTCATTCTTTGTCATTGAAATTGGCCAGAAAGGTAATTTTCTTGTGCATGTAACTGAGGAAAGTGCTCAGAATTGTTCCCCTCCACTGAATCCCAGTTCAGCTTGTGGCAGGGATGGAAATGCCAGCTGAGTGTAATCCTGTGAGGTTGTTTTTTCCCTATGATACACCATCAGTTTTAATAAACAGCTTCTCTTTTTTTTTTTTTTTTTTTTTTTTTGAGCTTTTGGTTATTCCTTGTGGCTTGTTGCAGTAGAATAGGAGCAGAATGTGAAGCACTTGCTTGAACTTTGCAATTGGATAAATTCAGGGAGCAAAGTCTTGACCTTTTTTAAAATAAATGCCACCTATATCAATGACTCCTTCTTAAATTTACAGAAGATGAAGAAGTGTTTTGGCTCCACTAGAGGCCTCCAGGTGAAGGCACCTCAAAATGCTTTCATGCTCTTGGGTGGGATGAGAAAGGAAGTGCTGAGGCCAGAGCTGCATGGAATAAACTGGATGCAATGGGTGCTGCTCACTGTCGTGGCCTTGTCCACTGTTCCATAAGGAAACAAAAGACCCTCTTGCAGTGCCAGGAATACACAGACAGTGTTCTGCCTGCCTTAAGCACGGAATAGGCATTTGAATAATTTGAATAAGCACGGAATAGTGTCTGTGTAGCCATACTGGGAGCAGGCGAGGTCACTCGCTCTGGTGAGCCTGGAGGAGACTGAAGGGACACCTCATTGCAGTTACAGCTTCCTGGTGAGTGGAAGAGGAGGGGCAGGCACTGATCTCTTCTCTCTGGTGCCCAGTGACAGGACTCAAGGGAATGGCCTGCAGCTGTGTCAGAGGAACTTTAGGTTGGATATTAGAAAAAGGTTTTTCACCCAGAGGGTGGCTGTGCACTGAAAAAGGCTCCCCAGGGAAGTGATCACTGCACCAAACCTGACAGTGTTAAAGAAGCGTTTGGGTGATGCTCTCAGGCGCATGGTGTGACTTTTGTCATGTCCTGTGCTGGGTCAAGAGTTGGACTCGATGATCCTTGTGGGTCCCTTCCCACTCGGCACACTCTGTGGTCTTTAAAAACGTGAAGGAAGCAAATAAGAATATAAGGAATTTAACAAGGCAGAAACACTAAGTACCGCTGCGGCTTGCAATGGGAACAGGCGGCAGGCGGGCCGGTCGCCGAGGGCAGGAAAAGGAACTGGAGAATGCGGGCATCGATCCCGCTACCTCTCGCATGCTAAGCGAGCGCTCTACCATTTGAGCTAATTCCCCGCGCTGTTGTTCTCGCCACCCAGCACTGCCATATTCAGCTCTCGCGAGATGCCGTGCGCCGCTGGCTGTTACACATTCCCGCTCGGGGCTCCCAGTGCGCCTGCGCGGGGGCGCGACGGCCGGGGCTAGGCGGCGGGCCGGGCTGGGCGCGCGCCGGGAGAGGAGGATGCGCCCCGCGGTGAGACCTGGAGCGGGAACGGGGCGGGAACGGGAGCGGGAACTGGAACTGGAGCGGGGTGGCAACGGGAAGGAGATGGCAGTGGGGACGGGAATGGTGGGGGGCTGCGAATGTGTGTTTGGCGGGCAGGATGCGTACGGCTGTGTGTGTGTGTGTGTGTGGGGCGGCGGTGCGGGTGGAGGTGGGAACAGGGGTTGGAGCCCCGGCACAGGCTCTGCCGGCGGCCTGGGCTGGCCTTTGAGTCAAGGCGGGCTGCGCTGAGGTCAAAACAGAACGAAACAACCAAACAACCTCCCCCCCCCCCCCCATAAAATATCGCCCCCCACCCCGCCCCCGAGCTGATGAAGGGCGCAGGAGCTGCCCGGATGACCCCGGTGACTGCTCAGGACTGTTCAGGGGGCTTCTCCTGCCCGGCAGCTCCTGACGGCCCTGGGGGCACAGAGCCCGCACCCCCCGGGCTCGCGGGGCTCGGGGCGGCACTCGGCCTGGCTGGGCTGCCCCAGTGTTTGCTGCCATCCGTGCTGGGATATCCGGGCAGGGTCCCTGGCGTGGCTGGGACGGCGGGGATGCCCAAGTGCCTGGATGTGCAAACCTGCTGCGGGCAGTTGGTTCTCCCCGCTTTGCCTTGCAATGTCTCTTCTGAAAACAACACCCACAGAAGTGAAATCTGGCACCGTGGTGAATCGTTAGGTCTTTTGCTCCAAGAAATGGTTCCGTTTGCTCTTGTGCTCCAGCTGGAGCAGAATTAAAGGCAGCAATTTCCCTGCTGGACAAGGAAGGAGATGCTGGCTCTGGAGCAGGGAACTTCAGGTGCCTGTTGACATGGCAGATGGGGGCATGTGCTGGAGTGTTCTGGGGAGCTGCATTGACCAGATGAGATTTTGGTGCCCGTTTTGGATGCGGGAAAAGGGGATGCCCTCAATCAAGGGGTGCATAGCAAAGCAGGTGAGAGCACTGGGTAATTTCTCTGCAAGCGCTGAGGAAGATGAAGCTGTTAGTGGGCTTGCAGTATTTAATTAAAGCTGTGTTCAGCAGTAGCAGTATCCAGGACTCAGTTAAAAAACTGTAATTCTGGTAAATATCTTGCCTCGTGCTCAATCACTTTTCTTCTCCTCTGATGTTCTTGAGTCAGACATGACAAAACCCTAAAAGCATTGATAGCCAGTGCAAAATACTTTCTGAACCAAAGTGATTACAAAATAACCTTGTTGTATAACTCCGTGGTGGCTGCTTAACACCTAGCTACGTGGAGAGCAGCAGAGTCCTAGGCTGAGCTGGCCAGGCTGCGGGCAGTGATTCTGGTCACCAAGTCGCTGCAATTCACTGAGCCAGCAGGGAATTTGGTGAAAGTGATGAGACTTGCTGTGGCTTTTGCTCCATCGAGTTCCTGGGTGCTTTACACATTGCTTTCCTGCAGTACTTTTTATTTCTGCCCTGGCTGTGTTCAAGCCATCGTTTGTTGGTTTCAAAACCATTCTCTGCTCAATTTTACACCCTTCCTGAGCGATTTGCCTTAGTTCTGCTTGTGATATACAAGTTACTTTTTCTGGATGAATTTGCTGAGCTATCCTCCTCCAGACTATGAATTTCTGATTAAATATTCCTATATATCAACAGCTTTGCAAATGAAATAGATGCAAAACATTTTTTCTTTATTTTACTTGACAGGTTTCAGGCTCTGCAAATGAGGTCTTCTTCTTGCAGAGTGTGCTTAATAGGTTCTCTGAATGATATTTTATTGAAATACTTAGAATTTTAAATATACTCCTCTTTTGTTCTTTTTGACATGTTGCATCTTACTTTAAAGGGCCGGTGAAGCATGACCTCAGAGCCCTTTGGAAACTCTCCTGTCTCTCATTTATAGTTTTCACGGTTGTGAGCTTCCTTCTGCGTGTGTGTGTGGTTTTTCTTTTTGGTTATTTTTTGGTCGGAGAGAAGATTAGACAACAAACATGGACTGAAAGACATGTTTATCTTTATGAAAAAACCCAATAGCAACCAAACAAGCAGGCAGCCGCACCCATCCAGCAGTATGATTTCTTATCTTGGAGCTTGACTCATAATTTTGACGACTCCTTACCCTTACTGTTTTTTTTTAAAAGAAAGTAGTTTTTGTAGCTGTTTCCCTGGGTACCACACTGGAGAGCATTGCACTTGTGTAATTTTGTTTCTCTCTTTTACATCGCCCTGAGCTGCAGAACAACCCCACATTTTTCCCCCGGCCTTCTTTTTTTTTTTTTTTTTTCTTTTTTTTTTTTTTTTTTTTTTTTTTTTTTTTTTCTTTTTTCTGATATGGAGTAAACCAGGAGATGTTTGAGAGTCTCTCCTGCTGAGGACTCTTACCTTTAACGCACACGACAGCGTTTCACCAGCTTGGCTTTGCTAAGTATCAAGCTGATTCTGTGGAGCTGGAAAATATGTTTCAGGCTGTGTTTTGCATAGATGCTCTCAGATGTGAGGTTTCACCCCCTGGGTGTTATATGTGTTTTTCCTGTCACGGGGCAGTCTGCCTCTGAATCATGTTGCTGGGAGCTCCTGGCAGAGCAAATGCAGGGGCAGGGATAAGAGAGGTCTGTCTTCAGCCTTGCTTCGTCAACACCAGCCATAGCACTCCCTCATTTGTGTCTTGTTTGGTTTAATAACAGGGTTGTACGGCAGCTTTTCCCACAGCAAAACATCTTTTCTCGTTTTCTTTAGAATTAAAATTGCTCCAAAGAATGTGTATTAAGGGGGACTTTGAAACTCAAAGCTTGTCAGTCCTTCACAGTCATGCTGGAGTAATGCCTGTGCTTTCCTCTCCTTCATTTTAATTACAGGGGAGAGTAGTTCAGCTCCCACAGCTCAAGCTGTTGGAAGGATATGTCTGTGCTCTGCAAATAAATAAACTTTGTGCTTGCTTTCTCTGTTCTGTCTTCCACTTGCTCTGGTGAAGCTCTCCTGAACAATGCTGGGCAAGTATTGTTCAAGTTTTGGTGGATCTCTGTTTTCTCCTTGTACTCCATCCATGCTGAGATTACAGATATTGCCTTGCAGGTGACTGGGAATATGCCACCTAAAGAAGCAACAGCTGCTCTGTGTAAAGAACAGCCCGCAGAGATGCTGAAGTTGCAGAGCTATCAGTGCAGCTTTGTGCTTGCTGCATCTCCTTCAGCTCTCAGCAGCTTGGGACATTCCAGTTGCCCATTTTACTGGGTGGTGCAGGGGTTCTTTAAGGGGCTGGTTCATGCCACGCTGCAGATTGCTCAGCGTGGCACTGCAAGAGCTGCTGTGCGGTGGAAGGCAGATTTCTAGAATGTGCAAGATACCCTCATGTACTGAGAGTAGCGATCTCAGCTGGTTTTCTGCCATACACCTCCCAGACTGAAGTAGCAGTGAGTATTTCTGAAGCAAGTATTCAGACTGGAGTGCTTGCTCTGATTTTCGAGGTGGGTGAGTGCTCTCTGTAGCTGTGGGTTTGCTTTGACACCCTCAGTTTAAGGTATTTGTAAGGAACCGGCGTAGATTGTCCCCCCTCAGTGTCTCCTCGAGTGCCAGCCACGCTTGCCGGCTCCGCATCCCGCCGGGTTGTTCCTGCGCGTGCCATCCCCCTCTGCACTGCAGAAGAGCTAAACCGGGGTTGCAAGAAAGCTGGCGAGAAGCCTGGATGTTCCTAGAAAGATATTGATTGCCCTGGACAGTTCGGGGTTGTTCCTTTTGTTTCCCTGGCTCTCGTCACGGGGTCGGGCTCGTTCGGGCGGCAGTTCACTGGAGGATGGAGAAACAGTGCCGGCTTTGCGGGCTGAGGCTGGAGCGGAGCCATCCCAGCCCGCCTCTCTCAAGTGTTAAGTCTGAAGCAGCCTGCCTGGTAATTCCATTAATGAGAGCCTAGTGCCAGAGAGATAAATGTAATTCCACGGTAAAGCTAACACTCGGGCTCAAATGGAGAGGATTTCCTGGTTCTCCCAGTGCACTGCTGTGAGTAAGGTACTCCAGTATTACCCACAGACAATGTTTAAAGTCTACATGTCACTGCAAAGACTGGGCAGTGATAAAAAAATCTGCTTTTAAATCTTCATGTGAGGAAATCCTTAGCTCCAGAGTGTAGCTGTCTCTTTGCAATGGGTTTTACAGGGAATAAAAGTTTCCCGCTTAACTCCTGACATGCAGGAGCCAGCTGATCCAGGAGACAGCTTGTACGGGCTATAGCCAGAATGAGCTCTCTGTGTATAATCAATGCAGAACAGAAATTATATACCCTTTGTGAGTGTCACCAGAAAGCTTGCAAGCACCTCAGAGCCAGCCACCACAATTGCAACTAGCACAAGCTTCTCTACATTTTTGGCAATGAGGTCCATGCTTGAATTCAGACCTTACAGTTCTGGCTAGCTTGGTTTGATTTCTTTTTGAAAGAATTTTTTCTGATTTCTCACTTTTCTTAGTTTGATTTGTGATAGCAGATAACATTTTCCTGTTTGCAGTTGTATAATACCCTTGTGGCACCATCATCAAATCTTGTGTTGAAAAGGAATGGTTAATTGGGATATTTTTAGCTCTCCTTGTGGCTTGGATCCTGAAATCAAGCACAGGAGCCAGCACCATTCAGCTTTCAGCAGAGGAGCTTCCCATGCTGCAGGCAGCAGCTGGGTAGTTGTGTCTGACAGGATGGGAGCTCACAGGGCCAGTGAGCCCCAGTGCTGTGGTACCCCAAAGTTCAAGCAAACAAATCGCTTGCCTCATCTTTGGAGCTCAGTGAAGGATTTACCTTGTCATCAGTCCAAGGTGAGGGAAAAAAATTCCATGAAAAAGAAGCAGGTGCTGGGAATGCTCAGCCATTTGGGTGTTCCCATCATTCATCCTTAGTTAGGTCCCTACTGGTGTCCTGACAGCAGAACTAAAGCTAGCTTGCTCAAAATGCTTGTGTGTTGGTGTACTCAGCAGCTTGCTGGTGCCTCTTGCTGCAAGAGGTGTGGGGGAAAGTGGCTCATTGGGCAAAGTGAGGTGCATGCTTTGCTGGTGACCTA